CATGTGTACAACAATGGCTTCATTTGAGAGTAATGGAACACTTTCAGTCTGCTACACTTTCCTAAAAATGTGTTCAGTTCCCTAACTACAGTCTCACTTTTATCCTTAAAAAGAACTGCGTGCAAGTTGCCTGGGTTGAGTGCCTCGTGGCACTCTAGTATTTGGAGTTCATTTTAAACTGCTTTGTTAAATAGGTCAATTTTAACCCCCGGCCAACCACAAAACCCTGAAACCAGTGTTTCTAGAGCAGTAGACCAGCTGAAGTAGGTTTCGAAGTGCCCTGCCCACCATTCTAGAAGTCTTTAAAAGACGGTGATCAAAGCACCACCAACTTCACAAATCGTATCAAAGACAATAGCCTTTCTGTTGACCCTGGTTCAAATGAGTTGGAACAGCTTCTGACTATTGCGAGATGCAGCTGTCGCCCACTTTTGCGAATGTTGCTTGTTATGTCATGTATGGAGCTGATGCACACCATTGTATCTGCTGTCTGTCAGAGTACAGTGTCCAGTGTCAAGAAGTTGCAATTAGTTCGTAGGAACCCAGCGTTTATTAGCCGGAAGTTCTTCAAAGCGACAAGCAGCTTTACTCGCCATTTTCATGGCATCTTGTTAGTGCACTCGATATTCACACATACTTTCTGGAGATTCGATAGTAAGCCTTGCACCTAACTTGGTTTGGTATTTACATACACATGTCGACCTGTTTAGAATGATAGTGAAAACGAAAGACGAATCAAGCATATACTGAAGCATAGTCAGAGTTCAAAGAGATTTTCCAGAAAGAGGGGCGGTCCTGAATTTATTCACTCTATTGGTAGCCAATTGAAATGTGATCTACTTGAGTGGAAGTTCGAGATGCAAGGAATACACCAGATAGCGAAACGGTAGTGACTGTATCGGAAGATGGTCCTGGATAAAAATACACTATGATCTGCTCAAAGTTGCAGAAAACGGTTGGCATTTTCCGACTTGCAAACAACTAAATCTCATTAGTCACCAGAAAGCAAATTTTTATGGACTTAGATGCTGAAACTGTGCCTTAAAGTTCCCAGCTAATACCACGACGTCTTGACAGTGTTGTGTTCCCTGAGCTGGATGGTTTAATAATGAAGCTTTTATTATCATTTTAGATAACATCACCAGCACAAACTTCAGAGAACACAACACCATCAAATCATCCTCTTAAGGTACAAATATTCCCCACTATCTCAAAATACTACGATGTCTGCCTAGGTTTTAGTTGGCCGGAGTGTAGGCAGAAATAACGAAGAGATATCTTTTCCCTGGAGATACAAAATAGTGGTAGATGGTCTTAATTAGTAATCAACGGTTATCAGACAGCTATATATGCAGACAGAAAAGGTTTGAATCGTTAGATCGTATACAGTAAATATTTCCACACACAAGTGTACACGAATTTTCAATTGGATACCGAAAAACAACACTTTCTATCTCAACAAAGTTTAGGTTAACGGTTGTCATGGCGGAAGTTTTTACTTTTCGTAGTATAATGTATGCTAACGAATGGACTACATAATTGTTGTACTATCAAATCAACCACTTCTCCGCTAGATTTTTCCGCGCATTTTGCCTAATGAAGATAATTCTTGTAGTCATATGCAAGGTGTGTTACCTTTCCTTAGTTCCCTTCCTCAGAAAAGCATGAAGTCCTAAGAACAACAGCTGCTATACGCCATCACTCTGATATATTTAGTACCTTTCATATCGTCATTCGCAACTTCATTCACTTCGCCACTTATCCTCGCCAGGTTAACTAGTTCACTAATTACTAGCCCGTCCTAAACTCCAGCAAAGAGGGAAGGTTGCGCATGGGGCTAGCAACCCTATCCCGTAAAACTAATCCAACCGCTAAAGAAACTTCAAAGCACAAACAAAATATAAAAAACTAAAAACAAATTATTCCTCACTGGATTCGGGGAGACGAAATGAAGCCGGTTAGTGGAAGTCTTCGGGAAGCCAATTGGCCGATGTGTCTTCTCTCGATGAAAAGAAAAAGTAAGAATGGGGACATGGAACAACCGCACAATGTTTGAAGCTGTTTGGCAAGACTGCCAAGATTGCAAAAGGTATGAGAAAGTGTAGCAAAGAAGTGCTAGGAATCTGCGAAAGCAGATGGAATCGAAGTGGACTCTACAAACTGTCAACAGCAGAGTCAATAATCTACTCCGATATTGTCACACAGACAACAACCACGAGCACACTCACTTTTCCAGTGGCTATCATGATGTCCCCAACACCATCGGAGACTCTCTCTCATGCAGTGGGAACCAATCTCCTCCAGGATCATAACAGCAAGGTTCAAATCAAAAGGAAGGAAAGTCACAATCGTACAATGCTACGCTACGCACCTACAAATAATGCAGATGAAGAGAAGGAGGAATTCTACAGATAACTGTGATCAGTACTGGACAGGACCACAACCCAGTTGGTCACATCAAAATTCACTTCAATGGGTGACCTGAATGCCAAACTGAGGGTGGGCAACACAGGAACAGAACCAACCATGCATGCGTAGAGAAGCACTCGTTTGTGAAATGATGAATGAGAATGGAGAACTGTTTGCAGAATTCTGTGCATTCAACGACTTGGTGATTGGAGGCGAGGCAGTGTGTACCAACACAAGGATATCCACAAAGCGACATGGATTTCACCAGACACCACGACACACTACACTGAAAATCAGATCGACTTCATCTCAATGTGAACAAAGTGGAGATGGAGACGAAGCCTACTGGACACAAGATCAGATGAAGAAGGGGAGCATACGTAAGTTGACACCACTCACTATCTATCCAGTGCAAGGAACCTTCAAAATCAAGTTGGAAGCCTTCAAAGAAGTTGGTGATAGACGACCACAGTTCAAGTTTAACACACAGAAACTTAAGGTCGAGACTACAAAGAAAGTCTTCACGGCAGCCATCAAGACAAAATGGGAGACGTCGAGCAACATCCCTGAAGAAACCTGTGCGGATGAGCACTGGAAGTCTTTGAAAGAAATGTGGAAAGAAACCTGCACAGCCGTATTAGGAAGGAAGAAGAAAGAAGATAAGGAATGGATCTCAATGGATACATGGAAGCTGATAGAGGAGAGGAGGATGGTGAAGCAAAAGATAAACCAGTGCAAGGATGCTCAACGACATGAGGAACTGAGTACAATGTATAAAACACTACACTGGACAAAGAAGTGAAGAAGAGTGCACGGAAACACAAAAGACACTCCCACGACACACTGGCAAATGGAGCAGAATAGACTACAGGTAGGAGAGACCTGACAACATTGTATCAAATAACCAAGTTACTATCTGGGAAGAGATCAACGAAGATGAAACCAATAAAAGATGATGAAGAAAATCTAATTACCAACGAAGAGAAACAAAGGAAACGATGGGCCGACCACTTCAAGAAGCTCTTGAATCGACCACCACCTGCACTTCGTCCAGAAATACCACCTGCAGCCGAGCCACAGAACTACAAGTGAACACAAATCCTCCAACAAAAGTCGAAGTCCTGAACGCCATAAAGCTACTGAAATGCAGAAAAGCAGCAGGACCAGATAGAATCCTGCCAGAAGCACTGAGAAGAGACTCAGGGACAACAGCAGATATGCTCACAACACTATTGCAGGAGGTCTGGGTGGAAGGAAAGGTACCTGCCAACTGATTGGAAGAAGGGTTACCTTGTCAAACTCCCGAAGAAGTCTTTGCAAAAACTGGCGCGGAATCATGGTGCCGTCCACCCGAAGTAAAATATTAAGCCACATCATCCTGGAGAGTCTAAGCAATGAGCTGAATTCAAAAGTACGATCGGAACAGGCTGGCTAGCTGGCTTCAGGAAGAACAAATCATGTGCGGATCAAATTGCAACGCTACGCTAAGCATCACTATAGAACAGAGTATAGAATGGCAGTCAACTCTACACCTCAACTTCATCGACTTTGAAGAGACCTTCGATAGCGTCGACTGAGAAGTAACTTGGCAGTTGCTTGAACACTACGGAATGCCACAAACCTTTATCAACCTCATTCAACAACTATATGAAGACGCCACATGCCAAGTAATTCACAAAGGGAACCTCAGTGATGCCTTTGAAGTGAAAATAGGAGTAAAACAAGGCTGTCTAATATCACCGATGATCTTCCTTATTGTAGTGGACTGGATCGTGCAGCAAACAGACAGAGGTGATGAAGATCCTCAACCAACACCAACAGCAACAACAAGCTCTAATCACCATCAACGGGAGAAACTTAAAGGAAGTAGCCTCTTTCACCTACTTAGGCAGCACTGTCTCAACTACAGGCGACACAGACGAGGCCTTCAAAGCCAGCCAGGATCGGAAACAAAGGAAGATGTGTGTTCATTAACCCGAAACCAGTGTGGAGATCTGCACTCAGTATAAAGCGTGAACAACATCCGGATTCTCAACATCAACGTCAAGTCAGTGCTTGTTTATAGTTCAGAGACTTGGCGCGTTACGAAAGGCATTTCAAACAAACTACAATCATCAATAACTGCCTACGCTGGCTCGTTATTGAAGATCAGATGGCCAGAATGATAAGAATAAGCAACAAGGAACTCTGGCAACGAACCAACTGAGAACCTATCACTCAACAAATATGCAGAAGGAAGTGGAGATAGATTGGGCATACAATGAGAAGGCCGACTGGGGACATCACGCGACAGGCCAGTCCCTCGAGTGGAACCCAGATGGGAAGCAACGAGTTGGGCGTCCGAGTTGAGGGTGACATGGAGGAGATCGTGCGAGGAAGAAATGAGAGCTTCAGGGATGTCGTGGAGCCAGGTTCAAAAGATTTCAGAGAACAGAGCGCATTGGAGACGTGCTACTGAAGCCCATTAGGAACCCAAGGGACAAATAATAAAATAATTCATATCGTCCTTCGCAACTTAATTTACTTCGTCAATGAAGCTGGAAGTAAAATCGATTCAATCGGACAAAAAGGCAAACGAAATATTTACTTACCGACAATGATGTGCACGCATAGGTTTAATAGAAAGACACTTTGTACAACGTACAGGCGTAGTTGGTAAGTAGGAAGAATACTGTTGTAAATATTTTGCAAGTGCTTGGTTTGCTGCACCAATGGGAATACTACCCTATATAAGAACAGCAGAAAAGGGGAGGTATGTAACAATCCTCTAACGAGTCAATGTAAAGAAAAGAAGAATAAACAGGTTTGCGACACCACAATATTATCAACAACAATTTAGGGATGTGATGTGTAGCTGCATAACTTATACACCTCCATAATAGGATATAGATTTCCTTATTGAGACATCAAGTGAGTACATTATGAGAGAGAAATATTGAACTGCATCTAGCTACAAACTGTACTGAAGTTCGAAATCAGAATCTAAACATTTCGATATCTAAGCACCACTCCACATTCTGTGGTGAAAGATGCATTAGAACAATGCATCAAATTATCTAACAAATTGGTGTCTTTTCTGTGTATGTTTAGTGAAATGAGAAAATCTTATTAAAATTATTTGTGAAGAAATACGAACTATCCAGGTAAAACAACCAAATTTGCTTAAAATAATGGTATTCTAATCACCCTGAATACCAATTCGAGAGCAATGCTATTGCCATCGCACTCGACGCTTTCTTTTATGAAAAGAAAAAAATGTTCAAACTAATAGAAGTGAACTGGAGTCCTCGGATCGTGTGGAATGGACCCTAAAAGACTTACCCATGCCCATGCGGTTTAGAAAGTCTAAATCTTAATCTCGAAATGTAACGATAAACCACTGACAACAAATTACTCTTAATCCATGCTGCTTTCTAGGCATACTGAACACTTGCGCACTCTCCCCAGTTTCGCACATTAGCTTTTCTTCATTTATATTCCTTTGTTATAAAATGCCATCCACTACGTCTTACCATTTTATGCATATATAACTTTACACGCATCCTCGGCCATCGGTCTACATTTCTCATCCCTTCACTTTCACATTTTCATGCTGTCTACAAACTGATAGCAAGAAGTAAGCACGTTAGCCTTCACAGCTTTTAAACAAACAAAAGAACTGCAGACCAGATGAATGCATACCTTTGAATGTGATTAACACAACTACTTTCCCATGTTTGAAACACTAAATAAAAAGGGGAAAGACAAAGATGTGATTTGAAACATTATATTAGTGTTAGTTGCATTTTACAACACAATGTTTATCTTTATTATTTTAGATCACCTTGAACTTCGATAATACGCTAAAATAGTTATCAAAAACAATAATTAGTGAACTAACAAAACGAGTTTATTTCAGTCAAAATCGCAGGGGATGTTACTATAGACAATCCTACAATCTTCTATAGGTGATGATCAGCTGAAAATGAGTCTCGTTAATCTTTGTTTCCTTTCGTAACATTGAGACAAACTGTTGTGTCCCCATAGAAAACCAATCTATCCAACAAAGGTGAAAACTTTCTAACTGTATTTAAATTCAGTGTGTAAGATAATGCTACTGGCAGCACTATCATAAATAAATTCAAAATGAATGTTTACACACAATAGTCAGATCATGGAGAGATGAACTAATATTTGAAGTATTGTTTCAGCATTGCCGAAAATGAATTGAGTACAGAAAACTGCACGAATTACAAGTCTGCTGATTTCGCAATAAATAGCCGAAAATTAATAACACAATAATGCGTTCATTGTCTAAGAAACAAAATATGCTAATGGCATTCAAGACAATATAACGTGTATTAGTGACTTACTGGATCAGTGCTGAAGCTTTGAAGTGAGAAACAACTGCCAGTATAGCGAATAAATGATAAACTGTACCGCTTATCCAACAGAAGGCATAAGATGGAGAGTGATCAAGTATTATGAAGTCTATCACAAATTCTGCATATAAAATAAGCATCCAGGTTACAAAAAGACATATTGTTCCACATGGATCACGCACAAACCAAATAACCCCAAACGTTCGTTTTATAGGTCTAGTGTTGACTGAACGGGTTAGAGGGCGAAGACCAAATGAATGTCTACACAAAGACAAATAATCAAACAGGTCTCCAGAAGGATGCAGTGAAAAGCGTAATTTTGCCGCTGCTTCATCATCCCAAGAATTAAAATCTAAATCACGAAGGCCACGATATCGCGAAGGATCTATATTAGTATGCATTACGTCCTTGTTCACATTTTCTTCTAAATACGGTGAATTCGATGCCATTCTAGGAGATTTTCTGTAAACAGATGGAAGTAGGTTCATACTGTCATGGTTTGATGCTATATTGTCTTTGTAAGCAAAATACAAACAATAGGTTATTTTTGCACTACACAAATTGCGAAGTTGCAGCGGAAATAAATTCGGTAAGTTGATGCAATAAACAGAAGAAACAATCACCTCTTTTCAGAAACCTATAAAAGATCATCAATTGATTCTCTTTTTAAATGAGACAAAAAGGTGAACCATTACTCAAATTCTTTAATTTAGCTTGAGAAAATGCTTTCCTCTAACAACTTCCACGTGTTTCGAAAGTTTCCACACAGAAAGCCTTCAATGGTAAAGAAACAAGTACCATGATTTAGTGAGGCACTATTCGACTTCCCGAAGCATATTAAAATTATTTCAAGGTATTATCATAATCTCACCTATTTTTCCTAGTTCACTAGCCGGACCCAAGCCCACAAAACAGGAAAGGTTGGCATAGGGCTACCAAACCTAGGAAACAAACTTATTCCTCACTGGATTCGGGGAGACGAAATGAAGCCGGTTAGTGGAAGTCTTCGGGAAGCCAATTGGCCGATGTGTCTTCTCTCGATGAAAAGAAAAAGTAAGAATGGGGACATGGAACAACCGCACAATGTTTGAAGCTGTTTGGCAAGACTGCCAAGATTGCAAAAGGTATGAGAAAGTGTAGCAAGAAGTGCTAGGAATCTGCGAAAGCAGATGGAATCGAAGTGGACTCTACAAACTGTCAACAGCAGAGTCAATAATCTACTCCGATATTGTCACACAGACAACAACCACGAGCACACTCACTTTTCCAGTGGCTATCATGATGTCCCCAACACCATCGGAGACTCTCTCTCATGCAGTGGGAACCAATCTCCTCCAGGATCATAACAGCAAGGTTCAAATCAAAAGGAAGGAAAGTCACAATCGTACAATGCTACGCTACGCACCTACAAATAATGCAGATGAAGAGAAGGAGGAATTCTACAGATAACTGTGATCAGTACTGGACAGGACCACAACCCAGTTGGTCACATCAAAATTCACTTCAATGGGTGACCTGAATGCCAAACTGAGGGTGGGCAACACAGGAACAGAACCAACCATGCATGCGTAGAGAAGCACTCGTTTGTGAAATGATGAATGAGAATGGAGAACTGTTTGCAGAATTCTGTGCATTCAACGACTTGGTGATTGGAGGCGAGGCAGTGTGTACCAACACAAGGATATCCACAAAGCGACATGGATTTCACCAGACACCACGACACACTACACTGAAAATCAGATCGACTTCATCTCAATGTGAACAAAGTGGAGATGGAGACGAAGCCTACTGGACACAAGATCAGATGAAGAAGGGGAGCATATGTAAGTTGACACCACTCACTATCTATCCAGTGCAAGGAACCTTCAAAATCAAGTTGGAAGCCTTCAAAGAAGTTGGTGATAGACGGCCATACTCCAAGTTAAACACTCAGAACAGAAATCGAACTGAAAGACAAAACTATAAAGGACATCTTCACGTCAATCATCAGAACAAAATGGGAAATATTGAGCAACGTCCTTGAAGAAACCCTCGTGGAAGAACACTGGAAGTCTTTGAAAGAGATGTGGAAAGAAACCTGCATAACCGTATTAGGAGGGAAGAAGAAAGAAAACAAGACAAGGAATGGATCTCGACTGACACACGGAAGCTGATAGAGCAGGGAGAGGAAGATGGTGACGCAGAAGATTAACCAGTGCAGTGCAAGGATGAACAACGAAAACAGGAACTGAACACAACCTATATAAAACACTACACTGGACAAAGAAGTGAAGAAGAGTACACGAAAAGACAAAACACACTGACAAGTGAAGCAGAACAGGCTGCAGGTAAGAGATCCCTGATTACGTTATATCAAACAACCAAGGAAGAGATCAACACAGATGGAACCAATGAAAGATAGTGAAGGAAACTTAGTTACCAAAGAGGAGAAACAAAGGAAACGATGGACTGACCACTTCAATCGACCACCAACAACCGCAGAATTACCAGTGAACACAAGCCCTCCGACAAAAGCAGACTCCCTAAACACCATAGTTACTGAAATCCGGGAAAGCAGCAGCATCAGATGGAACTCCTCCAGAAGCACTGGAAACAAACACAGAGACAACAACAGACATGCCCACACCACTACTGAAAAAGGTTCGCAAGGAAGGGAGGAAAGAAACCTGCCGATTGATTCGAAGAAGAGCTACCTTGTCAAACTCCCAAACAAGGAAGACCCAAGTCTTTGCAAGAACTGGGATGGAATCATGCTCCTCTCCACCAAAAGCAAAATACTAAGCCGCGTCATCCTGCAGAGACTAAAATGAAAATGCTCTCGATTCAAAATTACCACAGCAGCAGGCTAACTGCCTGGCTTCAGCAACAACAAATCATGTGTGGACCAAATTCCGAAGCCACACTAAGCATCATCATCATAAAACAGAGTATACAATGCCAGTCTGCCAGTCTCTGCCTTACCTCAACTCCTTCGATTTTGAAAAGGCCTGCGACAGTGTCGACTGACAAGTAATTTGACAGGCAGCTGCTTCAACACTACGGAGTACCACAGACCTTTATCAACCTCATCCAACAGCTATATGCTACATGATGCTACGTGCCAAGTGATTCACAATGGATAGCTCACTGACGCCTTTCAAGTGAAGACAGCAGTAAAACAAGGTTGCCTACTAGTGCAGATGATCTTCCTCATTGTGGTCAACTGGAATGGAATGGACTGGACTGGACTGGACTGGATCATACAACAAACTATGACAAGCTGTTAGCAGACAGGCATACGTTGTTTGACCGATGAAAAGACCCCAGGAGAAGATTTAGATTTCGCCGATGATGATCATTTATGTCGAATGTCTCATCGCACAAACTCAAACATCTACAGGTGAAAACTAACAAGTTGGCAGATGCGGCGAGGCAGCGAAGACGGGACTTCAAGTAAACATAGAGAAGACACACGTGATGAAGATACCCAACCAACACTAACACCACCACCAACAACAACAACAACAAGCATAAATCATCATCAACAAGAGGAACCTAAAGGAAGTTGTCTCTTCCACCTACCTCACAACTACCTAGGCAGCATCCCTTCAACTACAGGACGCACACATGAAGACGTCGAAGCCAGGATCGGAAAGACAGCAAGACAGTCAGCCCTTCATCAATCTGAAATCAGCATGCAGATCCACTCCACTACACTACACTCCACTCAGCATAAAGAACAATATCCGGATTGTAAACACTAATCTCAGTCAAGTCAGTGCTTCCATGTGGTGGTAGTTTAGAGACTTGGCGCGTTACGAAAAGCATTCCCAACAAACTATAGACATACATCAACACCTGCCGCCTACGCTCACTTGATACTGAAGATGGAGATCAGATGGCCAGAATAATAACAATAAGCAACAAGGAACTCTGGCTGGCCGACTGACTGACTGGCAACGAACCAACCAACAACCTATCGCCCAACAAATATGCACAAGAAAGTGGAGATAGATTGGATTGGACATACACTGAGAAGACCGTTTGAGGACATCAATCGTCAGGCTAGGTCGTCGAGTGGAACCCAAGTGAGAAACGACGAGTTGGGCATCCGTGACGAGGGTGACATGGAGGAGATCATGTGACGAAGAAATGAAAGCTTTATAGGGAGTTGTGGAGTCAGGTTCAAAAGACTGCAGATAACAGAGTGAAATGACGACGTGCTAGTGAAGTCCTATGTTCCACTAGGAACCCAAGGGACAAATAATAATAATAATATTCGGCATAATAAGAACGAGAAATAAAGACCTCAGGTGTATAAATAATAAATTGACTTCATCGGCTGCTCAAATCACTGTTAACTACCAATAGGATCAGTGTGAGTTAGTTCTCATTACCTAAGTGATGGAAAGTCTGAAAATTCAAAACCACGAATGACCGTACTGAATTCCACATTATCTTCATCAGCTGTTTATGTGCTAAAGAATATTATTTCATTTCAAATAGCAACCAGGTACAGCATTTATACGGAGTATGCGATGCGCAGAACGATGTATTAGGCATTGCATGCTTCAGCACAGTTGACACAATTTTACAAATATATGTCCATTTAAAGTGATACGATTATACACAGGAAATGAAATGATTTCTAGACAATGATAGGATTGCCACGCTATACTCCCTGGTACCTAAGGGTACGTCAGTTTTTACAACACTGCCAGTGAATTGTGCATTTATTGCTGCTAGTCATCGAGAAAAAACTCAGCCTTTATCATCACGTATCCACGAAAAACTTCCTGTAAGATCTCGCTTTAAACATATGCATTTTAAAACTCCCAACGAGACTCCTGGAATAACTATTTAGTTTAAATCTTAGTAGTGTAGATTAGAGCTTAAAGTCGATAAACAACAGAGTAAAACGCAGTTTGAAAATTTTATGTCATGATTGAGAGACAATGAGAGAACATTATAGATTACAGTTGATTTCACAAGTAAAAAAAGTAATCCTAAGCCCCCCCCCCTCCTGTGGACACCATAGTACTTGCAATGAGAACGTGAATGTAGGCAAAATAATACTAAGTTCCTGGTGTGAAATTTTCAGTCCTAGAATAGTGTCCATAAACTATGATATACTCCGCAACGTTAAACTCCGTACTGAAGCCATGAAAAAGTCTAAGGAAAGCGCTTTTCGAGATTATCACAATTTGACCTTTAGGACTCTATAGTTTCCTAACAATCTTTTGAAACGTAAACAGTTCGTTGAGAATAGGGGATGTAAATCAGCCTGTACAGTTACAACACATCAAGAAATTTAACCAAGATCTATATCTCGTATAACATTAATAAACAGTCACCTTGAAATGCTAGTGAAAGTGAAATAAATTACTTGTTACGTTTATTTGCTAGGATTTTTATGATCTTCGGATTTAAAAAAATATCCTAAGACGCGTATATCCACGTTCACGGACACAGAAAACCTGTGCTGGTGACGCATTTTATTTCATTCCTAGCATTTCTAAAAACAGTTAGCAGCTAACTACAGGAATTTAAAGTGACCATAACTCGAATAATGTATAGTCTTTAGATTTGAATAGAATGTTTGTTGACAGTTGTTTCTTCGTTGAATGTCAAGTATCATGCTGCCTAGGTGAAATAAAATGAACTCTGAAGTTTTGTTCTTAAAAAGTCTAATATTTAAGTCGCTGTGTGCATAGATCAAACAGCTAGAGTGAAATCCTTTTAGAAGTCTAATATATCCTGATCATTGACACCTTTAGCAATTTCAGGATATTTAGAATGCATTTCTTAACTCGCACATAAAATTCATGCTTTCGAGGTGATCTACAGAAATTTAAGTGTTAGAACCGGCTGAAAACCTTACTTCTTTCAAATCGGATCAGACTTGGTGGGTTAGTGGCTAACAAAACTCAACAAGGTTACGAAGGGCACTTCAGAGCTACAAGTGCCTATCAGGAGTAATGTTATTGCACAGTAATGTCCTCTAGTCGATTAAATAGCTGTGAGACATTACCATTAGAATTATGAATGCTTCAGGCACCTGACTATTATTGGTAGGTTTATAAAGTCTTAGATAAGGGAGGCAAGTCAGTTGGACGGGTTGCTAACACTCTTTGTTTAAGGTGACTGGAATATATGAAACACACTGATATCTCCAATCTCATTCAACACGTAATATTGCCCCAAGTAGGATTAGTTTCGTTAAAAACTTTCAAATCATTACGTGGCAATAATACACAAAATTGCTGATTGTTTGCACGAGTCATGCAGAAAATTCTGAACTTCTTGACCCCAGCTGGTAAGACAAACAAAATAAGCAGTTAAAAATACTATGCTGTGCAGTAGAATTGGTCCCAGTGATGCAAGTACAATCACGCCCTATCTACATCTTAAACGCAATATCATAAATCGTAATTTTATTCCTCAACTTTTCCATTTATGTGATGGCTTTCTAGGACTGCTGATTGAATTACTTTAATTGCCTTTCTATAGCTGACTCCCGACTCAACGATTTCATGTGAATATTAGCAATTTGCAATACGTCGTCAAACTGTCCTATCTTGTTCATGTTATGTCATGTTATATCTGAAAGTAAACAAACTTCAGACTGAACATAGCATGACATATTCTATTTGTTTACGGAGTTTGAAAACATTTCGAATTATTTGTTAAAATAAATACAGCACCATTCAGTTTTAGGTTCCATCATTAATTAACTGTTGAGGAAAAATAAGTTAGTAGACACAGCTGAGTATTTACCTCACCATAAACCGCAGTTAATGCCATTATCACTGATCGTAAATCTGGAATACTCAATAGCATTCGTGGCATGCAAGACTAACATTCAGATCACAAAACACTAAGTAGGAGTTGGTGAAGCTCTTGAGACTGGAACCCATCAGTTTCCAAACTAATGAGAGTTAAAATATGCCTCATATACAATGTGCCGACTTAAAATACTTGTGTGTGCAAGTTGGATGACATTTAGAAAACAATACCAACACAGCATACTTACAAGCCTGTACTCCATAAAGACAAATAATACAATGTACCTAGTAATTCAGGAGCCATACATATAAGAAAGTCACTTAATTGAAAGCTAACATTAATTTCACATATTTTTCCTATAAAATAAGTTGTATGCATTCTTTCCTGCACTTTCGAATAATAATTTAAAACAATTTTGACTTTCACCCCACTTTTACATGTTTTTATACTAATAGTGTTTCATCTTAATATGCAATGGAATAAACTTATCACTGTTTACCTAGAAACCAGTATGTACCTTGCGTTGGAGAGTCTAAAGTGATTCGGAAATGCTGTTTATTTCAAAATCATTAAATGAAATATACTTACCCTTGCCCTATGGCCTTGAAGTGTGCCCATTAAGATTGGAACATCGATAATGATTGGCCAACTAAGTTGCAAAACACTTTAAAGAACGAAGTGAATGAAAAGTAGCAACCTTAAAAACTTTTAACTGGGTCTGCTTAGTGGTATTTACCTATAAGTTTCATATTTTACAATCTAATGAGGGTAGAATTGAAATTACGTTTGACAGATCCTACAATTGTACGTGATAGTACGTACGTTAATGCACACAATATTACGTATAGGATTATCAGGTCACAATAGAAGTTATCGAGAACCAACGAAAGTAAAGTTGAAGTTTAAGACACGTGTCTATCGACAAGAAAATCTTGCTGAAAACCTACTTTTCTTATGTCTATGATTACAAATCAATGAATCCCTAGACCATATGACTCTACATTTGGCCCTAAGAAAATGTTGATTTGGTTAGAAGTATGATCCCAACATGCGCATATGCCCTGCAGAAAAGTGTTGAGAAAGTAAAAATAATTTTATATCTGCAGTATTAACAACCAAGTTGACTAGAACAAAGAAAAGCTTCGGTTGAGAAAACAATTATTACATGATATTCATTGCAACAAGCCGCTCACTGTGAGAGACATTTAAAAAATAAACAACATACATGTTGGTAAAATCAGGAAAGGTTCAAAGTTTTCTAACATTTGATTAAAGTAATTTTGAAAGAACCATAGTAGACACACCTGTATTGTGCAATTGCGGGATATCTTGAAGCAGTGGGCATTCCGAGAGGTTGGACTTCATTCATTATATTAAAATGCATAAATGCAATATAGTGAAATCAAGTAGGTTAACATGTCCGTCCTTTACTAAGCCTATTGAATGAAGCGTACTAGTTTGAAAATGTGCCTTTCAGAGAGATACAATACATAACATATCTCGTCGAGTGTAGCAATACGATAGCTGGTGGACTTCCGCACTGCATTCTAAAAACTAGGCAAAAATTATTTAATTTCACGTCTTCGAGGTGTGTTTTTCGAGTAGGAGATGAATATTTTGTCGTCCTCGACAAATTTGGCTTATTATGTATATTATATTAATAGATTTATGTTAGAATCTCACCTCAAAGAGTTTATTCAGAGTAAATTTTCTATCTTCACTGTCCCCTGTTGAAATGTTTCTGTTTTGTCATTTCTTCCTACATCCTTAAGCAAGGTTTTGTGCTTTTTGTCTTTTGGACATTTTATCAACTTGCCACATCTATTGATCTTACTTGTTTTAAGACGAATACTTTCAAGGTCTGCTTGGGTAGGTAGAATTTACCTCAAGCACCCTAACGGTACTGTGTACTAATACCTGCAAACTGTGCAGGGCTTGGATTTAGGCCAACGAAGCAATAACTTGCATAAATACTGTGATAGAAACACAGCTCATAAAATACGTGAGTTGTACTGCTCTAATTTCAGGGCACCCCTACGATGGGCTGACAGAATGCCAAGTTGCAAGAATTTAAGAGTTCTGTTACATACCCGCAAGGACCTGTATACAAGGTAGACTAACACAGAAGCACATGGAAACAGTACATCAGAATCAATAAGCTGCGATATCGAGTCGGTCCATGGTGTTGTCAACTCCGGAGTAATATACCGAAGCCAACATTTCACAGTAAATGTATTCATCCCAAACCACAAACCTGAATACAGTAATACCAACAGATGCCCTATGATACGTGACCAAACCTACCAATCACTAACCTTGTACAGCCCACATCTCCAGATCTAAGCAACTGTCTACGTCTACGTCTACGTCTGTAAAATCTGCAGACTGTTATGTTTGAAGACATTAGTGAGACGCGTTTTTATGTAGAGTATAAACTCTCGCCCCTAGATCTCGTTTTCCACACATCAAAGCGAGTAAGAAACCCACTTCCAGCGCCCATGTCCATCAGCTAATAGTCGCCACATAAAAATGCTGTGCATGTTTTCCACTTGCAAATTAGTTTACGATTCTTTTCCCCTTTGACGAAATATACGATGACCGAAAATACCAGCTATCAGGCAGTGTGAAACCAAACTGGACTAGACTGTGGATAGCAAGCTATCTCCAGAGGAGGCTAGTGAAGCATCCAGAGCTCTATTTGAAGACTCAGGTTCACAGCTTACCTCACGGTCGACTTTTTGCAAATATTCTCGCCACCCCGTGGATAGGAAAGATTATCTAGAAGCTTCCAAGGAGCAGTAGGTGACTACAGAACCTATTTTCAGGAACAGGTCCTGAAGCCATTTTGATACTTCGTCTTTAAATGCATACTTACAATCTTCATGGACTGATCCTGAGAAGAATTTTACAAAGTTACCCAAAATACCTCAACATATATCATTTGTGATTTTTGAAGAGATTTTTTCAGCTCAAGACATAGCAAACTTAGTTATGTGGTGCTCGGCAATCGGGGTTTCTTATCTTTCAATGTCTGATATGAAGGGTAAGTGATCATTACATATATATTGTCGCAATTGTCCATAGGCAATATTTTAAACCTCAGGGACAGCATTGATCAGTTTATCAAAGAAAAAGGTTTCAGCGTTCAGAAGAATCATGGTCTCAACTTATCGATGCAATACAGTCCTCTTTATCGTGGTAATTACACATAACTTGATGTATTTCAAGCATCTGCAATGTTACCAAGAATCACTGTAAACTATCTTCGCTGCGATGATGGTTTCGAACAGATATGTCAGTCTGCACGCCATTTAAGTACTCAGCCTAGTAGTCTGACAGAAGAAGTCGTAAATGAAACTATTAAGGGTTTGTTTAGTTATTCGCTTATGTTTCCCTAGAGTTATCTAAAGTTCCGGATATTGATCTTACTATCCACTGTGGATTATGTTCAAGTTTTCGTGGATTACTTCCCTGGCAAAGCCGGTTCTCCGAGTTTATGTAAGTTCTAGTTGTTTTTAAGCTTTTTTCCCTGTATAGTCAGCGATTAAATTTAGAAGGAACATTCATGTTTTTTTTACAGCAGTCATAATAACATATCACACCTGTAACCAACTTAAATAAGTCTTATCTGTGAAAAGGCCTACTTCTGGTACACTTATATGCCTAGACATCCAAAATTAAGCGCCATATACCAATATTTCGGCTACCAGCAACATCACTCTTTAAAGCGTGGCTCACATTTTATAAGAAACTATGCTCAGATATCGAGACTCACTGTATATATACGTTTGTGTCATGGCCTTACATCTGAAACGCTGCATTCAACCAAACGAGGTAGAGAAGTCAGCGTCTCCCAAGCTCAAGACACAATTGAGTTTTCTGTTATTTGAAACACTTAACTATCTAGTACGACTAGTTGTATGGAACCTATCGTAAGTCCCAAAATCTATCCTTGTCTTATATATATATATATATATATATATATATATATATATATATATATATATATATATATATATAATGAGTCCGCGGTTAAGAAGTTTGTATGGGAATGTGTTCAAATCCCTCGGATGGACTTTGCTCTAGAGATTCAAGCATCATCAACTGCTATGCTATTTGGTGCAACTGGTACTTTTAATATTTTTATTGGGAGAAAAACCGAGTATAAGATGATTCCATGTTAATTTGTTTGTTGGACTTTTCATACAGTGCATCAGTATTTGTTCTATCTTTCGAATTCGGTGAATTGGTGTTTAAAACAACCGAAATGATGTATGGAGCAAAACAGTGTAAAACTATGAAAAAGAATCTTTAGGTTTGAATTTTGCTACTCCACTTCGTTTTACTAATTAGAGGCATTACATGTGAGAACGGTGTTATTTATTTGGTAAGATACTGGGTAGAGTTCTCTGTCGTCATATCAAGGTAAATTTACAACTTTGCGAAATATTTTTCCCTTTCTGTGATATCGATAGGTGCCGAGTCATTACTATTGTATGTATTTGGTGCTGGCCCTACAAAAAGATCAGGTTATCAATCTCTTTCGTCATCTACCTAATTTAGTCCTTAAAACTGTAACTCTGTCTCATCGCATTGTGATTGTTTGGTTGTATGCATAGCTTTAGCTTGGCTTTGCTTTAGATTGTTGACCTTTCTGGTACCCGCCAGTCTTAATTCGGTTGTTTTTGTACTGGAACAGCCTATTTGATCCTAGTCGAATTATACTTTGAACTATGCCTTTGACTTCACAATCACCACAAGAAATTTGGTAAACCAGATCACTTTGCCTTCAAGTGGTAAGATCTAGATGAGTTTACAGGTTCAAGAACCATCCTAGTCTAAGCTCTATCGAGAATCTTTCATATTCCTGAGGCGCCTTGTTTTTAACATCACAGAGGTTTTAAATTCTCGCTTCGAGGGAATGACACATATTATATTTATTAACAACAATATCTATGGCAACCACCAGTCATTTTTCTCTTGTAATGGCTTATGGATTTGCTGATAAGTTCAGATGAGCGGTTATTGAAGAATAAGGCGTTTTCTAATGTCTCTGACCTGTTTTATCGGATTTTTGAGTCAGGGCTAAATGTTTCAAGTCACCCGCCTAAAATTATCCATAAGTGTCTGTCACGATAGAGGATATTGGTGATCCCGTGGCAGGTACTATTTGTTTATACCAGGGTTAGCTGCAAATAGTAGTCACAAAGAAGTTGTGAAAACAGATGTCAAAAATTGTTAAAGTTCTGTGATATACTTGTTTATGTTACATGGGGCATAATGCGTAGGCTATGTAGATCTGGTAGTTAAATGGTCTGTTCTTCAAAGTATTTGGTAGGACACCTCGAGAAACAGTTCAGTGGGTAGATGCCTGTCCCTTAGTTGCTCAGCATCTGCTCCGAACATAAAAGTATGGGTGTTAGCCACCTGATCCCCTCAAAGTTGACAAAAGCCATTTAAAATCTGAAACGATGAGTAGTAGTTTAGTGGGCGTTGCTGATAACAACGGATATAAGTAGTATATATGGAGAGGGTGGCAGGAATTATAGGGAATTACCGGCAATGGGTAAGGTTTCTGCTAAGAGCAACGCAGCGGACAGCACAGGTGTATTACAGGGGATGCTGCTTATAAGAGTGTATGAAGAGCCGGTCAAGAGCAAATCAAGACAGTAACGGAGAGGAAACGAAGACATTTGCAAATGGCTGCGTTAGTGCAAGGGGTAGCATATGTAACTACTACCATTCCAATATTTCGTAATAAACATTCTCTCGTCGAGTTGTCTTCTGTTTCTTTAGTAGTAGTATCTGAAGGTTTCATAAGATTGAGGTAGAAAACTACTGAGTAAAGTAATCAAGGTACTAACTAGTGCATGGAAATCAGAGTTATTCTTGTTGGACTTTATGGTTTGTGATCGTCCGACGCCTAACTTCAGCCTGAGAACTAAATACTAGGGAAATCCAGGCAGTGTTCGAAAATAAATGGATTAGTTGGTCATATTTTAACCTTTCGATAAGCTCTGGAATCCGGACATATTTGCCAGCTCCCAACACCATATTTCTTGACTTGGAAGTGACATTCGACTCTGTCGACTGAGAGGTGTTACGGCAGTGTCTAACCGTGGAGTAACAAGTAAGTGTAATGTGCTAGTCAAAGCTTTTGCTCGAAATCAAACAGCTGTTTGAGGGCCTGTAGAAAGTTATCTGATGTAATGGTAACCAGTGGTGTTCACCAAGGACATTCAGTATCACCCTTTCTATGCAACTGTTTTAAATAGGCCGATAAATGTCCCCACCTCCCTCTGACCTTTCAGGAAATAACTTCAAGTGTGTCAATTAGCTCAGTACTCAGATGAAAAAATCCTGATGGATGGGGATGCTGACAATATACGGAGTCTTTTGAGCACCTTACGCAGAAATCTGAGTTTATCTGGCTTGCTTTTCGTATCTGCAGAATATAAGATGATATTTCAAGGCTTGTTTGCACCCATTCATGAAGTCTGAATGTTGATCTATGCCGTGTAGGATGCGTGATTGGTAGCAGTCACTGTTTGTAAACCTTGTAAATCAGTCAACAAACAACTTCGCATTACTGTGTAGCAGTCAAAGTCACTGCACTTCACATCGGCTCATTAAAATACAAAGCGGAAACCAGAGATTAAATTATTATAATGGCTGTAGAACAAGATAAAATCAACGTAGTATCCAGCACCGACTTAAGTTTCCACACTTCACAGTAGTATACAAATAACAGGTAGATAGAAAAAGAGTGATATCAAAGTAGACAAAGTTGTGTGAGAGAATAACCAATTTGAAGATAACGGTTGGTGCAAATATTCAAACTTTAGATGTCACAGAGTGAATAAATCTGCGCCGTTGTGATCGATTTTCAACCATGTCACGAAGAATCCTCAACCACCGATTCCTATCATCTCGGGAACCCTAGTCAGGCAGTCCACATCTCTGCACACGGCTCACACCAAGAATATATTGCTATTAGGATAGAGATGAGTTGCAGATGTTTACACAACTATGATTCAATAATAATAATAATTCACTTTATTCCAAACGATTTGTGGTTCATATCGCTTAGTCTTCAACCACCGATTTAGATTGTTACTTGACTCTCACCAGGAAATCAACAGTTCCTGACCACCAAAATAACACACTCCTCTCTGCCCTGCGATCTTCCGACGCTAGTGGTATGGGTTTTCCCCATCTGGAGTTAGAATAACCCGGTCTCGGACCACCAATCTTCTAAAGTGTGTATGTGACAAGTCTGAAGCAAATGTCCTATGGGCTTTGGGTCACGCAAGTCTTTTACTCTTTCAGTTACCTTAGGAAGAGATAACCTCCCGTGTTGTGGGTAGCCAGGAAGTGTCAACCGCTCACAGCTTCCAGTAGTACACAAGGCTCAACCAAACATAACCTATTCTCCTCAGCTTTGTCTCTTCCTTTGTTTTCACCTGACATAAAAGTTAAACCTCTTATAACTTCCTCAACTTCTCACTCTGACCATTACTAACAAACAAAGCCATCGAAACCTCATTCCTAACCGCCTAGGACCCCATTGTCCATTTCATATTGGAACGTTCAACGCATCAAAGCGTATACTGAATCGAACAGCAGCCATCTATCGCCAGAACTCTGGAATCTGTAGCTATGGATGTATGCTGTTTTTCTAAGACAGGTATACAAAACCCGAGTATAGTTATTCACCTGACCTCACCTGGTCAGTGCGGTGAATCTCAAAAATCTATTGTACGAGTATCCGCAGGTTCAGTTACTAGTTCTCTGCCACTCGCTGATGTAGGTATAGCATTAAGTTCTCTAGCAGAAATCGCACTTCACTGGATACCAATCAACATCTATCCATGTGCTGGTGTACTAAATGGGTCTGTAAAACCTAGAAAAAACCGTGAGAATAACTACTTACGCGTCCACCGACTGCAGTTAGGAGGATGAACTCTGTTAAAAGCTGCCAGTTTTTCTACATAAGGCAAAACGTTCGGATATAGTCATGATCGCAGACAATTTTAAGGCCCAATTAAGGATGGTGAGTCAATTTGAAAGTCATATTTGGGGTTATCTATGGAATTCTGTACTAACAAACAGACAACTACGATTTTCTGTTGCAATTTCGTTCTTGCAATCACTTATTTGTGGCTAGCATTCACTTCAAGCATAAGGAGAGACACTATCTCACACAGCATCCGCCGATATTAATACAACGATGGACATAGATAAATCTTATTACTGTAAACCATCGTTGCAGAACTGCCAGCTTTTTCTGGAGTACGTGTTTGGATTGCGATCGCGCGTTACCATGGACTCACGCATGTCTACCCCTAACTGGTCGCAGAAGACAGGTGGCAGTTGAGCCTATGTGTTCTCCATTAAAAACTGAGGACATAAAGTGCATATTTAGGCAGGGGTTTATCTGAAAGTGGCAGCAATCCTTATCTTGAGGAAACGGCGTGATACCAAGTCTGTGGTAAAAGCGGTTGGTAAACTACCTCCTAATTTTAGCAAACGTCAATAAATTTCCACAGCTTCATCTAAAATGACTGATGCGAAAAAACTCATTCTGACAGGCTCTAATTTTAATGAGGAACGAAAGCAGCTGAAGCGTAAGTCAACTAAGAGTCTTTGCAGTGGTGGTGCTGGTGCTGGAATTGAGGGAGATGGAGAAGGCATCTGCATTAGGTAATACTCGGCAGTTTTTTAGTCTTATGAAGCTAATGACAAGAAGACGACGGATGATAAAGCCATCACCGAAGAGGATGGGACTTAGATAACCTTTAGGGACCGGTGGCTAAAACGTTGAGCGAAACAAATTTTGAAGTAAAATTTAAATGACCCACAACAGCATTTCAGTTGCTTAGCACCCAGCTTGTACCTGAATGACAAGTAGGTGTCAGTCCTCCAACTCCACTTTGGAGTTTTGAACGTGAAACCATGCACAGAAGCTGGATCCTACCGTTTTCCACCCGGAGTTTTAAGGACGGAGATAAAAAAACTGCTAATTAGAGTGACGTTGGTACTAGGTGGTGTATAGAAATCAGAGGTGGTGCCGTCAGACTGGCCTACTTTACCGATCATCCTAGTGTATCAGAAAAGAGATGTCTTGTGACAACCATAGAGAAACTAGTTTGACTAATATTGTGTCCATAGGGTCCATAGTTATCCAACACCCAGCTAGAGCTCGACAGGACCAGGCAGGTTTCAGACATGGATGAGGGTGTATCGACCAGATTTTCACTCTTCGATAGGTTCAGGAACAGAGATATACTTGCTGACGGCCGACGCTTTTCATATTTGTTGACCTAAAGGCGGGATTTGGCTCTGTCGATCATGAGATGTTTTATCAGTGTCTCAATGTGAATAGAGTATCCAGTAAGTATGTAACGCTATTCAAAGATCTTTACTCAAACTCATGCAGCCGTGTAGGGGCTTATGGAGAATTGTCATCCGAATTGACGACAACTACTGGTTTCCGCGTGGTATGCATGTTGTCACCGCTCCTGTTTAGTTTCATTACAAATGTACTGATGGACATAGTCTCAGGTACTTTTGACTTCAAAGGAATTGATCTATTCCCTGAAGGGCATGCAGCTGACTTGGAGTACGTAGACTATACTGTCCCGCTAGGTTAAAACACTAAATCCAGGGTTTCCTGAACCCATTGAGCGGAAATCGGGTTATTTTTGGTGTGCGTTTTGCACCTGTCCGATGTAAAATTGTGCTCCAGGACTGATCTGCAACTAATCACAGTTCGACTACAGGGAGTAAAGTGGTTGAATGCGTCGAGACTTCGGTAGGGTAAATTACTTATCCGACACCCCATTCACTGAGAAATATTGGCATAAAGCTTCCTAGACGTCCATAAATATCCATGTGCTCCAGAACTTGGCGAAGGATGGCGAACTAATCGATACACTTATGACCATCTCTGAAACCTGTCTGACCTCCAAGTTTTTTGTCTGGTAATTATAGGACCTAGAATCCTAGGCATTATGTTTGTCAGACTAATCCCCTTGTGATTTTTACAAGAGGAAGACGGTGACAATCAATGACTGAGATCAGTCAAGCGGGATCATATCTGATTCTAATAGGTCATCCGACAATTTACGTAAGCTGACTATTAATCATCGATCCCTATCTTTTGGTACCTCCAGCTCATTTGATTCTTCTGTCATTACTCCTTTTAGGTTACTAATAGCCTTTATAACTTATTTTAGAGTTGTAGGGTCTGCCTTAGTGCTTCATTTAGGATCCTACTGGATTGCAGGCAGTAGAATATTAGCTAGTTATCAGTTGAATTGTTCCTCGAAGTTCTCCTCCCTCCATTTCACTCGTTTGCTTTATGAGTTAATCGTGGGCCAATCCTTCTCCATTTTATTCTTACTAATCGTTTCACTTTCTGCCCCAGTTTCCTTGACAAGTCTAAACAGATGTCTACGGTTACCTATCGCTTCTGCGTTTTCCATCCCTTTTACCTTCGCTACTCATTACTACTCGTGATGATTACGTAGCATTCTCATGTGTCTGCATCTAAGTTGCTTCCGCTCTTCATGATAGTAGAAGCCTGCAGAAATGTGTTCACGCACATCCGTTATTTCTGAAGAAGGTACTGAGATCCATTAAGCCTTTTTAACCTTTTTCTGACTTGAGTTGGCGCTTGGCTTTTTCTGCATGAGTGACCTTGTCCTCTTCTGATAACTGTCTGACGAATTCTTCATAGAATGCAGCCATGATATTCTCATGATCGAATTGCTCAAGAAGTGATATTTTAGCTATAGTTTTCTTTCGTCCATCTTGGCGCAAAAGTAGACGTTCCAGAACCAACGCGTGACTACTATCCAAATACTTGCTGAAGAAAAAGCAGCAGACTTTCACTTCTACCGAGCTTCAGTCAGTGGGTAATGAGCAAAGATTAAGAAGAGACAATGGTGAATCTCATTGTTCTTTTTAGTCCTCACTACACCACTTTGTTCAACAATGCAATTTTTGCCTCAGTACTTAATGCTATACCTACACCTACATGACTGCTAGAACCAACCGTTGAGTCTCCGGAAACTCATCTCATTGGACAGGTGAAGTCAAGTGAATAACCCCACTTGGACCCTGTATATATGTATGTGTGACGAACACACATGGCCATGGCCCTAGAAGCCAAAGTTTTTGCTGGCGAAGCTTGTTGGTAGATTTGTCGAAAGAAAGCTGACATTAAAAGCCCTAAGGTTGACTTACAGCGCTGTTGCAGGAGATCAGGGATACTGTTCAGTGAACACATTGCTACGGATTCGGAAGTAACTAAAGATGATGTAGCATTGTCAACCAAGAGATTAAAAAGTAAGGATGCAGAAGGTTGACAGTGATCTGGTCTTACTCATTGGTTTGGGGAGTTGACTTTCAACCAATGGGGCCACGGGTTCGAACACCGCTCCATCTACTGAGGTTTAGGCAACTAGGTAGTATCATTAGCCCTCACACAATAAGTGTGGCTTTTCGTCAACTTCACGAACGTACCCAAGGTTGCTGAGTGCACCTCCCAGAGCAGAGTTGTAATTACTGATCATCGCTGGTGACAGTTTGTTCGTCTGATAACTTGAATTTTGTAGCAGTTTCTGTTTGAAGGTTATACTTAGCATATTTATCCTGCTTTTCGATACTTTACTTAGATGCATTCAGAAGTGTGCAGTGGGTTCAAATGGTGCACCGTCCACTACAAGTTGACTAACTGGGTGGTATCGCGCAGTAATTATGCCTTAGCTTAGCACTCAAACCTATTCCGAATTAAGGAGCATTGGAGGATTTCAATAGGAGAAATGATTTTAAATAGTTTTCTGAGTTAACCAGGACGACCAAGGTTCTCACTATTTTTTTATTTTGCTATGAGCAATTACTTTGAAGTAAAGTATTAATTTTTCTTCACCAGAAGATTCCTTGATCGACTCAAAAGATACATGCTGTATGATACCTATTGGCAGGGAGACGAAAAGAATTCATGTATTTCAATATAAACTCGGGAACGCGTAACAAGTCTAACATCTAGTGATGTAAAGATAACTTGTCACCTAAATCTGGCTAGTGAGGGAGTTGGAGAGACAGTTAGGTATGTTCACTGTCTGTTTGTGTTACTAAAAACATCTCGATGCAGAAGTGAAAACTTACTGATATCAGCTAACTCCTATAACTTGCACCGTGATCTGAATATTGACTCATTGCTACTTGTTTTTTGAATATCAGAGCTGCTAACTTTTTCTCGTATTGCATATAGTTTTTGAAGGTGAACGAGAGTAGCAGCTGGAAGATTCGGTCACTCATAATTTCACTACGGATTACTAAGATGTCATCTCTTATCTTTTTGGTGGTATCTTTTTAGACAATGTCCTTCAGTTCGAAATCTTCAAATGTCTGATTTCCGTCAAGTCCTCCATCGTTTCGGAACTGTGAAACAACGATGGGGTCGTTGATACACTTTATTTTGGTTCCTAATCATAGCTGTTAAGAGCAATTGTTTTTGACTTTTAATAATAATTTGTGTAATGTCGTTCTTCTTGTGTTATACTACCTTATTTCCAACTGCTGTTGTTAGTGATTACCTATCTTTTGTTAAGTTTGTATGATAAGCACTGCTTTTGTATTGTGAATTCCTGAAACCTTGAGTATTATATACATAAAATTCAACTTCTTTAACCAATAACTTCAACTATTCTGTTTCTTTTCCCATTTCTATTTTTAAGAATGAATAACAGTTTTCATGTTTCACTGATATTTACTCCTAACATTGTTACTATTTTCGAATTTTATTAAAAGATTGTAACTTTTTGTATTTATAAACATTCAATGGGAAAGATGCATTTGTACATAAAGCTGTATCATTTGAGCTATATTCAAGTTGTGATGATGTTTATAATAGCAGTTATCAAGATGTGTTACCCTAAAAATCTAGAAGAAATTTCTTACTCATTGAGTTTTGTTTGATCACAACTGTGTAGCTGTTAATTTCTATGTCAGCTAGTTCATGTAGTTAAATTTTACATTTCGAAACAACTTATTACGGAAAGTCTATTTGATATATATGGCATAGTAATAGAGTATTATTTACTTGATGACGTTTCGAGAATAAATTATTGCTCATAATGAATGACTAGTAATTTTTTATTTCTGTCATTTAGACAATACGAACGTATAATCCTGCACCTAAGATATGGTGGCAATATGTGGATGACACATTTACTGTGTTGAAATCGAAACATATCGACAGTTTTCTCACACATAAACTTGGTGGTGGACGCAATCCAATTCACTTACAAGATAGAAAATGAACAAGGAGAATTACCTATGTTAGACTGCAGAGTAAGATGAAGGACAGACGGTGATTCGGATACTACCGTCTACAGGAAACCGACACATTCTAACAGGTATCTAGACTTCAGGTCATCTCATCCAATGTCAATTAAGGCGGGTTCCGTCATATGTCTAAATGGTAAAGCTAGAAAACTCACTAGTTGGTGTAAGGACTTAAACGAGGAAATGAAACCCATAAAAGAAGCGTTAATAATTATCCCCAACCGTTTATTAAGAAATCCGTAAGAACACATAAGAAACAAAATGTTAACAGCAATACGAATAATAGCGATAACATGAGTAAAAATAAGTTCAAAGCCTCTATGTGTTACCATACAAGGGTAGAACACTAGTTACTTTATGTAAGATTCTCAACAAAGCTGGAATCAGGGTGGCATTTAAACCTACAAACTCACTTGGACATAAGGTTTAAGGATCCGACAGAACCAATCAAATTAAATAATCTAATCTACCAAACCCAATGTAATGACTGTGAGGTCAAACTAGCCGGTTGGGGTCAGTTAGACTAGTGGAATATAGAAATTTAGCTGGATATAAAATGACAGACCCCAATAAGATCAATAATCTATTGCATTGCATGCATTAACACAATAGGGTGGGAAAAATCTACTGTATTTAAGTCCGATATAATTAGGGGGAGGGAGAGATTGATTGTTGAATCTTTGTCCATCGAATCTACATCCAACACGTGTAATGGGAATGACGCAAAACTTATACCAGAAATATGGAAAACCTTACTACCAATAAAAGCAAAGAATATGAGGAGATAGCATTATAAATATCAGATATCGAAAGGAGTGTAGTTACGTTGATATGATTACGAGCAATTATTTACGCTCGAGACGTCATGAAGTAAATAGAACTGTGTCACTGTGCGCTATACATCAAATAAACAAATCTGATATGGAATTAAATTCTACCACAGTGCTTACGTTTTACACTTATTTGTGCTAAATCTCCATATAACTCTTGTCTGTCGCCAAGTATACTTTATCATTGGCAAAGAAATCCGATTTCAAATTTGTTGTCTTCAAGTTCATGCAGTGACTGCTAATCGAACCTTTCCGTGTGCTATCTTCTTATACATGTTGCTGAGCTTGCTTGCGTGATATTTGCTGTCACGTGACAGCAAATATTTTTTAAATATTTATGTTCAGTCACTTATTCCGCATATTCATGTCAACAAAAATGCTTTCTTTCTCAACAAAACAGAAATATCACCAATCTGTGAAACCAGTAATGTGTATTATCCATCTGTGCATATAAATAAAGCAACATCATCTTTCTAACATGGTGGTTTTGTTTTGCGGAACTGTACAATCAAGGTAGAGTAAACTGATAGGATAGTGTTGAAAGCAGTGTCAGGGCTCTCCATATGAAGATGTAATCTCTCAAATATATGAAGCAAATCAGTGTGTCCAGCTCACTAAATGAATTTTACTAACGAGAATATGCCTAAAAATGTTTATTATCCATCTGTTTTAAAATACGAATCTTCCAGCAAAATACGAAATAAAAATCCACTCCTAGAAAAAACAAAAAGTGCTCATGTCATTTGCAAAATTCCTATTCCTTTCCAACAAATTAGTCGATATGAAAAGGCTACACGTATGTTGCAACCGGCTAAATATCATGTGGAAAAATTGGAGAGACGAACCGTGGTTAGTGATGAATTTTCGGTTGGTGATAAAGATGAGCCATTTTTAGGTTCAAGTCCGGGAAAATGTAGCCAAAGTCACGGATGTTTTTTTGGTTCCTACAAAATGAGTAATCTGTTGAATAAAGACTATGAATGTGACTGTAAATTATCTCACGCTAGGAAAACTAGAAAGTTTAGTAAATGCGCACATTTCCCTATGGTGAATGTGGTCATACCCTTCCATGAGATTGGAGAGTTACGACGTATTCATCATGAGAAAGCTGTTAAACACATAATAGGACGTTTGACTTACTTGTCTGTTGTTCATCTTGTTCAGTGGTCCAAGTCGTTTCACTATGCACGATGCAATATGATTGTATTAATCAACAGTAACGCTACTTCCTGCATTCAGTCAGTTGTTTCTCAGAATATTTCAGCGTCAGCTGCTTATAGACCGACTCATATCAAACCTATGGAAGTCGGTAGGGATATAATACCCGACAAAATTGGGAGATGTGAGCTAAAGTGTTATACTATCACTTTATTTAATATTTACTCATTACTTTTCAGCGGAACTATTCTCGGTGTGAATCGAGAACATTTGTTCACAGTTGCTCCGATAACAGAAAGTAGAAATTTCTTTACAATTATGAACTTATATGACATGTTATCTCACAGCAGTCTGCAAATCAATACTATGTCCGACAGCATTTTACCCTTAACTTATGATCGTGTTAATATCATCATAATATGTTGTGAACTGTTCAGGTCATTGACCACGATATTGGGTGTTCAATATCCAACATCAATTAAAGCACTGTCTCTAGAACTAAATAAAGACCATGTGGTTAAGGCTAATCTAAAAATATTGCCGAGATATTGTTGCCATTATTTAAGTTTATTTGTTTTATCCCCTAAAACTCCGTTGCAGATCAGTGTTGTGAACTATCATATTCAGTCACTAATTTATGACACTGAATCTGTCATAATAGAGGCTTGCAAAGTGTACTGTATTTCAGTTGATACCTTGGATGCTGTTTGCTCAATACTTATAGGTACATCTCGAACACTGGGTGGCGTGTACGTTGTCACTAAAGCAATATCAGTATCTGGAGAATCGTGTAATTATTTGAATTCCTATAGCTCATTCTCTCATAAAACTTTAGGATGTGAAAGTGTACCCAGTTGTAATTCATCGTCCATTCAAAACAGCAACATCTTATCTTTTTTACATGATCGTAATAACAAAAGTGCATCTGAACTAATAGTACGGTTCACCTCAACAATGATATTCTGGTGCGTTGAATCGAATGTCTCACCACTCTGCTATCCTCCGGTTGACTTGAATGCTACCGTAACTAACAGCTATTTTCGAGAGGGTAATTGGAATATAACCGAGAAGAGCATTGAACTAGAAGATCCCTCATCATCCTATAGAATGTATTCTGGTGTTTGTGAGGTGAATTCACCTTTTGTACAAGAATCTGTTAGCACTATCAGTAATTCAACTCTTAAGGTGTGTCCATTGGTTACAGAAGCATCAGTTATCAGTGGCTTTTTTGATTATATGAACACGCAAATCTACGTTTCGTTCAAATTGAATCAGTCAAATTGTATTGGTTTGTATTCCAGTGTACATTGTTTTCTATCTGTGTGTGAGGATTGTATCAAAGTAAACAATGAAGTAGGCGTGATGTCACATTTGAAGCACATAGTATCTGGAAATTTCTTGGTAAAATTATTGATATCTCAACAGGTCATGATACTAAGTTTGCATACTTTTATGTCTGTGTCATACGGTGTCAGCATAGTTGAAAACCTTATACTTAATTCAGTTATTCAGTGTAAACTATTCACAAGTATTATTACTACATCACAATGTGAAAATCTGCTATGTAGAAAATTGTTGAAAGTTAAACAACAAAGATGTTTTTGGTTTGATTGGTTTTATCATTCAATTATGATAACATTTTCATTTATTGGGGCTAAAATAAGTGTCGCTGGATTTAAATCTGATGATCAATGGTCATTAGTGGGTATATTCCTTGCACTGACAACATGTTCTTGCATATTTCTGTACAAGAATCATAAATCACGCTAGATAAAGTGAGTGATGTTAGCAAAAATGTAATACAATGTTTAATCTTATTTTGGTTAAAATGCTGTTCGTAATACTTTTTTCTTCTGATTGATATTATTTACTTTGCAAAAAAAGTTTATATTTAGTTGAATTAGTTTGAGTGCATTACTTATTTTTCTCATTATTTATTGACTCAGTGTTATGACGATTGTGTTTATGAAGAAGTAAAGTTCATGTGAAAAAGACGATGCTTGTACAGTATATTTCGTACAATCTGATCAAATATTGATTTGTTTACAGTATTGTACAAATGATTATAAGAAATGATGCAGTCCTATGTACATCGATTCCAATGTTCACTCGGTTACTAGGTTCAGGTTTTTGCACTAGTTTATAAGCCACATATGTTGTGTCAGAGCTATAACTACTATATAGCTGCCCAATCCTAATAGATGGAGAGGTCATTAGTGGGTATATTCCTTGCACTGACAACATGTTCTTGCATATTTCTGTACAAGAATCATAAATCACGCTAGATAAAGTGAGTGATGTTAGCAAAAATGTAATACAATGTTTAATCTTATTTTGGTTAAAATGCTGTTCGTAATACTTTTTTCTTCTGATTGATATTATTTACTTTGCAAAAAAGTTTATATTTAGTTGAATTAGTTTGAGTGCATTACTTATTTTTCTCATTATTTATTGACTCAGTGTTATGACGATTGTGTTTATGAAGAAGTAAAGTTCATGTGAAAAAGACGATGCTTGTACAGTATATTTCGTACAATCTGATCAAATATTGATTTGTTTACAGTATTGTACAAATGATTATAAGAAATGATGCAGTCCTATGTACATCGATTCCAATGTTCACTCGGTTACTAGGTTCAGGTTTTTGCACTAGTTTATAAGCCACATATGTTGTGTCAGAGCTATAACTACTATATAGCTGCCCAATCCTAATAGATGGAGAGGAACTCAAACTTGCGACCATTGGTTGAAAGTTGAATGTGTCAGCCAGTTAACCCCAGCTTATGCAATACAAATGAAAGAAGTGGGTGTAGAGCTTCAGAAAAAAAAGAATTAACAACGCTACTGTGGACATTAAAATAACATGAAAATTGGCTGGAGGATTTTCCATCTACAGAAATGAATTAATCAACCTGTGTTTTATATTAAACTCTGTAACGACCCATGTGGTTTGTATTTGTTATATATTATCAGCATTGTTGATTGTCTAAAAAGCAGTTTGGTCTCCGTACTGAAGCAGCCAACGAAATGCCGTTAGGTTCCCAAAGTTTTGATGTTCTCCCTGTGTTCCACTAGTAGCCATTATCACTTAATATCAGGGTTTAATAAAATATGATTCCAGATAACTTAGGCAAGTTCGTACGCCATTTTTCCATTCTGAATCCCTCAGTCGTTATGCATCTCTGCTTTGAAACTAGGATTTCCTAACCCCCAGGTGAACCCCTCAATTATTGCCTAATCTAATGATAAGCTGTTTTGTGGAAACCAAACCGTGAATAGGGTTTTTATGACAGACTTTACCTTCATGGCCGTATGAGGTCAGCTTTAAAGTTTGAACGGGTTCAATCCCAGCTAGAACTTACCAAGACATTTGGGTGGAAACAGAATGTAGCACTGCTTTGCAATTTAAGCTTCAACTCAAAGACCCGTGCTTTAGTCTAAAGGCTTCAGGTAGTATCTCTGAAGAACTTGTGTCGAATCTTTGCTGATCTAGCCTTTTAAAACTAGTGTAGTAATATGTCTCACCCTTACTGTTGTATCAGAGTAACTAAAAACAATAAACGAACCTGAAATCACTCAGAATTGGTATGGCTAGCCATCGAAAATGTCTGCACTAATGCTGTTTTAAGAATTGATCCCGTCCGACCTTGACAGACTCAGAGGCCATTCATTAATTAATCGCGTTTGTAAAATGCCCACGAGTGCAAGATCAAGAAAGAACACAATAGAGTAGCCAGGTGGAATAGTATATTTGATGGACTGTGCTAAAATACCGATGCGTTCCGACTAACTCGCTAAAGGATGGCGTACGAGTAGAGCAGTGTAACACGGCAAATGGCGTGGATGCTTAACTGTATGCCCTCACCTTAGCAAATCCTCTAAAACTATGAAGTTCAGCATTAAGGCTGAATCTCGTTGAACCCTAAAATATTGATTTTGAGTTGTTTGGTGCTACACTTTGATACACTCATTCATATGCTACTTAGAGCATAATTCTTGACTTATTTGTGTCTGGAGGTTGATAGCGTGTAATTTTCAGAACAAAATACTCTTGCATGTACTTACCTACTAAAGAATGAATGTACTGAACGCCGGTTTGTTCTGTCTTAGCGTATGGCTGTGTGACATAACCCCTCGATGTTGAAGATATAACGAGACTACAGGTGTTTGACTAGATGTAAGTCACCAACATTTCGAACTGAACAATGTCAATGTTAGGTGCAGAGCACTAGTCAATGAAGGATAGTCAGTTGATGAGGCTGTGCATCTTAGTTGACTGAGTTGGCTTGGGAATGTGTTATGCCTGCAGAGCCACCAATTCCTTCTACATGTTATGTTACACAGAGTACAATCAGGGTGATTAGAAACTAAGGGTGGATAGACAGGAAACCAGTGTGTGAAATGTCTGATTGTTAGTTTGAACAGTGTGAGCTGCCTGGTTCATGTCTCGCAGATGATAGCGCACACTGGTTAGATGCTGTTGTTAACAGTGATCAAAATGGATTCCCATGGCGCAGATATACTGAATCTTCATCATTTCCAAAACTATGAACATTTTTCTAACCCCTTATTGATTTTGTGTAACTGTGACTGACTGACTGATTGACTGCCTGGCTGACTGACTGACAGACTGACGAAATCAACGTAGAACCTCCCACACAATTGCATCGGTCCAAGCCTCCATATTTCTCAGTAGTATACAAATAACAGGTGGATAGAAATAAAAGTGATATCAAAGTAGACAAAGTTGTGTGAGAGAATAAACAATGTGGAGATAAGGATCAAAAGTGAATAATTAAGCTTTAGATGTCAAGGAGAGAATATATCTGCGCATCCTGATCTGTTTTACAGCCATACCACCAAGAGTACTCAACAACTGATTCCTTTCGTCTCAGGGACTCCAACCAAGCTATCCACATCTTCCATTCGGTTCAGGTTAACAGTAAGAGACTTCATCATCTGCCGTCAGGCCTTCGTCTTCCCACGAGGAACCCTCTCTGTGAACCAAATTCCACTTTCCCTAACTTGGCACGTCGAGGGAGTTGATGACCCAACATGCACGGTATGTGTTTAAGCCATACCAGTCAACTAAAATTCCCTACCCCATCAGTCAACTTGCCTATCCTGCCTAGTACCCTTCATCTGACCTCAGCGTTGCTCACACGGTGATTCCACCAAACTCGAGCGATGCCACAAAGACACCTGTGATCACTTCGTGTCTTCTACTTTTGAGGGCCATGTCTCACGGCTCTATTACAGGACAGAACAGAATGCAGTTCAGTATACTCCTTCCTTGACAAGTAGTCGGATATCTCATCAAATGGCACCACAGATGACTCATGTTAGTAAGTGCCAAACAGGTTTTCTGTATCCAAGCTGAGATTTTATCAGCAACCAGCCTGTTTAAGCCGATATAACTCCCCAAGTAAATGAACTGGTCAACACATTCCACTAATTCACTACTTATCGCAAACTGGAAGTATTTACAGCAGACCAGTCCTGGGACATCATCTTACATTTGATACGTGCTAGTGAAACGCATGCAAAAATACTCAGATTTCCGTTCAACGCGTTCAGAAGACTATATATTTTGTCAGCGTCTTCACTTAGCAGAACGATACCGTCTGCCTACTCCAAGTCAACCAGGTGATCTCCAGGAAATAGGTCAATCCCTGTGAAGTCAGATGTACCTAAGGTTAAGTCAATTAGTACGTCTATGACGAAATTAAATAAGAACGGTAACAGTGGACAACCCTTGCGAACACCACTAGTTGTCGTCAACTCAAATGACAACTCTCCATAGGATCGAACAAGGCTGCTTGATTTAGAATAGAGAGCTTTGATTAGCGTTATATACTTGCTTGGTACTTACGTCACAGTCAGACACTGCCACGACACCTCATGGTCAACAGAGTTAAATGCTGCCTTCAGGTTAAGAAATAAGGCAAGTGTTGGCAATTGGCTGGTAACCATACCTGTGTTCCAGAAAGTGTCGAAAAGTAAAAATATACTCCATACAGTCTCGTTCAGACTTGAAACTTGCCTGGAGTTTGGTTTTCTTGAGCTCCGGTTAGGAGTCACACAACTCTGAACCCTAGGATCTTCGACATAATATTAGTCAAACTAATTCCTCTATAGTTGTCACGAGATTTCTGCCCCCTTCTGATAGAATGGAATAATCAGTGAAGTATACCAGTCTGATGGCGCTACCTTTAATTCCCATACTCTAGCTAGTGCCTCCATCACTTTATTTAGCGATTTCCTACTTCCCTTCTTGAAAACTTCAGGTGGGAAACAGTCAGTTTCTGCTGTTTTGCATCATTTCAGGTTCAGTACACTTTTCTCAACTTGGATGAGAGTTGGAGGGCCAACATCTATGTCCCATTCAAGTTCCAGCTGGATGTTAGGTAACTGAAGCGTTGCTAGAGGCTGAGTGAACTGGGCTTCAAAATATTGCGCCCCACTTTCGAGCTATCTGTCCTGGGTGGTTATCATCAAGCCATCGTTTTCGGTGATGGTCACACTCATCACCGTCTTCTTTGTGCAGGTATTTCTAATGAGCATAATTAGTTGCTGAGTGTTTCCTAAAGCTGAAGCCCTCTACCTTTCTCTCGCTTTCATTACCCACCTCTGCTGATGATCGATGCGATAAATCTTGGTCAACTTAGGTTTAAGCTGCTTTCACTCTTCGTCTTGGTTAGATTCAGCTGGAATCAGTCTTCTTGCATCAATGAGCTGGGACGACATCACAGAAACCTTCGGGTGTAGGT